AATTGCCATGACGGGCTTAGCCAGCTTTAATGGGGCGTATAAAACGGGCAAGAAAGGGAGTTCTGCCCGCGGGGCGAAGCCATCATTTTCGTTGCCTACTTTTGTGCGCGGCTTGGGGGCCACCGACATTAATGGCGTAAGAGGGGTGGAGAGGCGTTGAAACGTAAACGGCGCCGTGAGTGCAATTCGAGTTTGCCCAGTATTAAGCCCTATTAGGAGATTTTCGTAAGGGAAATGGCAAACCTTTTAAGATTTTTACCAAGCGTGAAGCGAAAAGAAAAAAATGAGGAAAAGACCAACCAAAGCCATCGTGGGTACTTTTCTTCCTGGCACATAATTTGGGGCATGCATGGCGAGAGAGTCGCCCCACAACGATACACATATTGTGTACAAATTGTGCTATTTTCGGTCGCCTTTGGGGAGTCAATAATTTATGCTTCCGCTCCATTTTGCGTGCTGTCGGGGCGCAACCGCCCGTTATGTTGGGCTTCCAGTGACCCAATTTTGCTAACAGTAATAGCACAACAAACATGCTTCCAGACAGCCGGCGCTCTCTTCTGGCTCGCTCTTTGTGGGGCACACTGTTGCACGGCTCTCTTTGGCACGCTCTCTCTTACTTGTCTCCGGCTCTCTCTCTCTCTGGCCCTGTTAAGAGTTGCCAGTGACGTTTTCATGTGGCACGGACAGGGCCAGAGAGAGAGAGAGACAAAGACAGGGGCATCGCCAACCCCCAAACGTGTGGCATGTACATACATATAGCAGCCACTATATACAGTTGACCCAATTTCGGGCTTGTCCTTCCACAGCTGTTCTGATTTCGGTTTCGATTTCGGTTCGCATTTCCTTTTTTGTGTATTTTTGGCTCTGGCCCATTTTTCTCTGGGGTTTGGGGTTGTTTATGCTTCCGCCAAAGCCAAACCAGAACCAGCACCAGATACGGGAAAACTCCAAGACGAGCACAGCACCAGGCAGTGAGTGAGTGAGAGAGAGAAGGAGGGAGGGAAACTCTTTTATTTATACATCGCACGTAGTCTACGTGGCGTGGGTGTGTGTGTGAGATGTGTGGGTGTTTAATGTTCCTTAGCGTTGGGGCTGTCAAGTAAATTTTCATTGAACATGAAGGCTGGAGATGATTGCATGGCAACGAAGGAAGGTCTGCAGATAACATCAGAATAATCAATTAGTGGCTTGTGGAAAGGGGAAAGCCAGATCTTATGAACTATAATCATTGCCCTCGTAGCGATCAATGCAGAGCCGCTGACTAGCTCTGAGACCTATCCATGAGAAAGCTTTCTTCCTGGTCTTATACAAATATTCGCATAGCTTTTGCCTCCCAGTCCCCAGTAAATACGTATCTACTTCCTTGGATTGAAGTATATATATAATGACAACTGGGATGCCTGGAACTGGCGCCAGACATGGCTAGGGGGTGGAAACCGGAGGCAAACCGGGAATGCCACTCTCCCCACTTTCTCTTTGTACACCATTTTCCGTTCGACTTCAAACTGCCTTAAAGAAGATTCATGTTATTCCGCCCACTCACGTTGTGCGTATTTTTATGCTCCCAGACCCGGACCCGGACCCGGTCCCAGTCCCAGTTCTATTTCTTGTCCCTGTCCCTGTCCCTGTCCCGCTGTGAGCCGCCAAATCAGGACATAGTGCGGTAGTCATTTTTGCTGTTTTGTGTTTGGGGATGGACCAGGGTGGAATTTTATTTCCCTGTCGCTGCCAGCTGGAGTTTTCTGCCGCCAAGCGACTAGAATGGTTTTCATTCATTAGGAAACGAGTGCTGCCCCCTGCGTCGACCGTCCCTCATTAGAGGGAGATAATTAACGCGCACCAACACACAGACGCAGAAACAGGCGGAGACACAGGTGACAAGCAATAGACCGGAGACATAACTTAGGCTGCTTTAATTTACTTTTCGATTTGGCCAACTTGGCAGGTGGCAATAAAACCCAGCTATTGGGGCAGACGGGGCAGGGGAGGGCTGGGAATTGATAGCTCCAGCCCTCCCCTTCCATACAAAATGATTTGAAACTCGTTCCGGCATTAATTGAATATAATTGAAACGCCAAGGCTGTCGAGCAGAATTTGAATATTACGTATACGCGGCATTTGACAAATGCGAGCAAATTAAATTGCTGCCTGCCGCCGCTTATCAGCGGAAGAAGAAACCTGTTCGGAGGCGGAGGCAAGTGCAGAGGCAGTGCCAGTGCCAGTGGCAGTGGCAGCTTATTGGGAGGCAAGTCACGACCGAACTCCGAGCCGCTGCACAGCTGAAACAAACAGCAAACAGCAGAGCAGGAAATATGTACTTGGCCAACACACACATCTGGCACGGACGGCAACAATTGTGCGACTGTTATGTGGCGTCTGCTATATGTGTGTGAGTGTGTGTGTTATTTATGTGGCAGGATATGCCCAGCATCCTGCCACGGCCGCTCTGTAGGCTGGCCACAAACGAATTATGGTCGCCCACTAATTGCGCCAAGTTAAAACGAAAAGTGTGTAGAACTGTGAATGCCTAGCCCCCACATCCCCCATGGCCTATCCACACTCTCTACTCTCAGGCAGTTAATGTTGTGGCACACACACACACACACACCCCATACCCGTAGATGAGATGAGTGGCAACCACGTGCGTCTACAATTTACGGCGTTTAAGTAGCGCAAGTTATTTATGTTTATGATTACGTTGCGGTTCGCAGAATTCATACCCCTCCTTGCCACACACACTCCCCTCCACTCTGTTGGGCTGCTCTGCTTGTTGCCAGGATGCTATGCGCCACAGCAGGAAAATGCCTCCTTTAAAGCGGAGGCATCATCTATGCGAGCCCTGGCCACAATTGCTCGGGAAGTTCGGGATAACTTGTAAACAAATCGTTAATCATTTGGCCAGTACAAGGCCAGGACAGAGCCGAGCCGAAAACTCGATTTTTCAATTTGTTCAGCACTCGCACAAGGACATTCGAACTACAACAAGGACGCAATCAGTTGTTGGCAGTGCCCATGCCCCCAAAACATAAGCCAGCAGCATAAAGTGGGTCAACAGCGATGCTGCTGCCGCTGCCTCTGCCGCTGCCACTGCCTCTGCCACTGCTGCTGCTATCCTAACCTTCATCATAAAGCGCAGCATAAATGCAGGCGCATAAAAAGTTGAAAGCCAAAGAGGAAAAGCGTGTCAAGGCGAGTGGCAAGCGGCAAGCGAAGCAAAAAGCAACCACAAGGTGACCCAGTAAATAAGCGTCGAGTCGAGCGGTGGGGCAATGCAATTGGGCCACTCGCTTCGGCAAGGACGCGGCCCGGGACCAAGACCGGACCCCGGGCCCGTTATCAGTGCAGCCGAGAGCGGCAGACAGCAGGCGGCACGCTCGTTCGTGCGGCATCGTTTGCTGTTCGTGCGCCAGGTCCTGGCAGCCAGGCAGAGGCACTCAGCCAGTTGCATTGTCCGCACCCACACAGTCGCATTTGGCACCGGGCCGGCACCGGTTGATAAAACGCTCCAGCTCCTGCTGCTGCTCCTGCTGCTCCTGCTGCTGCTGCTCTCGTGTACTCCGTCTCCTCCTTGTGCAACATGAACACGCTGGCGCTCAACTATTACGTGGAGCGTAGTGAATACGAGAGCTTTGGCGGCGGTGAAGAGGCCAGTCCGGAGGCCAGCCACTGCTCCTCGCGCTCCTCCACGCCGATCACAGCCATCGGTCATCCGTACATCCGTCAAGTACGCTAAGCCCCCCATACCATCCTATCCCATGCCTCCCGGTCCTCCCACATGCCATGCATCAATCATTATCGAGTGTCACTAATCAATGGCGTTCTCTCTTCTTTTCTTGCAGTCCCGAAAGTTCCGCTGTACCTATCCACGCTGTCGCTTCGTGGAGCACGAGGAATCGAAAATCAAACGTCACATTAGCATCAAACATTTGAAGTAAGTAGATTCCATACAAGAAAAGAAATTCCATTGTATCCATCAGAGTGGGTGGGTGGTTGGCTTTCGAGAGTCCTTGGCAGCCCAAGTGGTGGACACAGCAACACACAGAAAGAGCAGCAAGTGGATTGGGCCTTGACTTAGCCACCCCCCACAAAAAAAAAGCAATGCGGCGGCGGGGCTGGTGCTCGTACAGTGGGACCAGCCTCAGGCGACCTTCTGTAATCGTTCCCCAAAGTGCACTTTATCGAGTTCCGTTCCGTTTCACTGTGGCACAGGGCGGAGGGGTGCGGGTGCGGGTGCTCAAAAGTAGAGCACTTGTACATAGGCAAGCGGGTCAAACGTGTATGTGTACGCCCCCGCAGACACCCAGATTACTGTGCGCACTTGCACCTGCAGCCAGCAGCGAGTGGGGGCCCGTCCGCGACTGCGCTGCACTTTTTGGGGCCAAGGTCCCACATAGAAGCAGAAGCAGCCAGCTCCCACAGCCACACACTCAATCCGACTCTGAGCTTTGACACTTGTAAATCTCGTTTCCTATATAAAGGCAGCGCATGCACCAGCAGCAGTCCGATGTGGTGGGGTGTGGGCGGCAGAGCATACAAATAATTTTAAAATAAAAGACAGTTTTTGGGGATTTGTTTTTCGCTGCTTTTGCATTGACATTGTTGTTCTCTCTTTTTCTGCATAGTAATATATGCGATATATGTATAATATATAATTAGTTGTATGGGTTTACATTTCTTGTATGCAGTATTGTATGGGTGTTGTTGTTGGTGGTGTGATTTGTTGGTATTGGAACCGCTCGGCTACGCTATAAAGTACAGTACAGTACAGTACACAAATGAGATGCACATCTGCCACATGCGAGAATGTATGTATGTATGTAGGTGTTTATGTATAGCTAGTATGTATGCTGTAGGCTACGTGTATATATGTATATCTCTAGGTATAGTATATGTATGTCTTCTATATAATGCCAACTATTCGCTTGGCAGGCTGGCAGCGTTTAAGGATCATCTATGATACTAGGACCGGGGGGCTACTACACGAACTCAAAGCCAGAACATATTTAGGTATAGAATCGAATCGAATGGAATCACACAATCGAATTCATTCATATTTATAAGCATAATCATAATCATAATCATACATGTATAATCTCTAGGCGCGAATTCAGTTATAAATAAAAGTGCTGTTGGCTTGCCTTGCCTTATCCACTAAATCCTATGAGCAATTTCTTATAATTTCACAAAACTAAAATATAATCGATCGCTTTTACAAAAACACAGAATTGAAACTAGCTTGGAGGTACGCACAATACAATACATAATATAATCTAATATAACACACAATAGATACAAATACAATCTGAATATGTTTTATGGTTTGTTCAAAGCTTTCTCGGCAAAACAAAAAGACTGCGATTACTGCAATCGGAAATTGGCATTAACTAAGAATCCTGAATCATGAATTATCATCTGCAATCATCTGCACACGCTGGTTAAATATCGTTATTACATTTTACATACGGTTAAAAACACTAAATACTATCGGCTAAAATTAGCTTATGTTTATTGAATATGCTGCGTGTTCTAAACAACTACTTTTAGTCTGCCTTGGTTTCTTGATTGTTTGTTTGTTGTGTTTGCCGTTCGCTGGGCTTCCTCTTTTCGATTCATCCGATCGTTTTTAAAGTACTTGGAAGAACAAAAATCCAAAACAGTTTGCAGGCGCATAAAATAAGATATAGTACTGGAAGGAGCAAGGAGGGATAGGCATACGATGGAAAGGGTGCTAAAATTTCAAGAGTATACAAATATAATTTACACTTTTCTTCAATAAATAAACCTAACCATAAAAGAATTATAACAAAACAAAAAAACCTGACAGAAACAGTAGGATCTCGGTAGCAATCGGTTAAATAATAGAAAGGACTTATAGCAAGGAGCATCCCCAGCATGTTGCAATTTTCGAACGGTCGAACTAGTGCGGATGCATGAGTCCGTGGGTAATGTCCATGCTCCCATCACCGATGCCATTGACACCAAGACCGCCATTTAGCATGCTAGAAGCTGAATGGGAAAAAACACACAATTCGATTAGTAAATGGCTTTCGACTGCTATACAAATGTGCGTCCTTACAATTGCGGGAGCCCTGCGTGTCGACCTGCGTCCAGTATTGTTCCGACGGGCTCTGGGTACTAGTCCCCGGCGGCGCCTGGACCGGCGCCCCCGTGTACCGAAAATACGGATTCTTAAGATCCAAAGTGTTGCTCGATGATATCAACGTGCCCTCGATATGCAGATCGATGGTGACATCGTACGACTGCCGCCGATTGGCCTCCAGCAGCACCCGTCCGGTCAGCGTCTGGCCCTGTTTGATGAAGATGGGCATGGGCAGCAGGCAGCGCACCTGGTACCAGTGCGTCAATGGAGCCGTGGGTGAGGTGGAGAGCCAGACGTTCTGGCTGCTGCCACTGAACTCAACGTCGAACCAGAACGCCAACCCATGGCAGATGCCAGTTTGGAGTATTTGGAATTCCAAGGGGATATCTAAACAAAGCGGAAATAGTTACGATTTCTAAATAGTAGGTAGAAAAGCGTACCAATGAGATGCAGATCGTCCTCCTTGTCGTTGAGGAAATCGCACACATGCCTCACGGACTTTGCCATGCAGATCCGTATGTCGAAGGTGTCCACAATCGGCTGGCGGAAGTACTCCTTCATGCCCTCCTTGTGCAGGGTGGTGAGGTCGACGCCATGGAAGGCCGACTGGTACCAGAAGTTGGCCTTGTTGTACTGTTCCGAGTAGAGCGACTCGTCAGAGAAGGGCGCAATGTGTAGGTCCCCGTGTGTGGGATACATTTTGCCATTGGGCTTGAGCCACTTCCTCGCATGCAGGTAGGTCTCCAGCATGCGTTCGTTGTAGAGCATATAGCCCATGGGCTCCGATATGATGACATCCACTTTCTCGGGCAATTCGATCTCCTCGATCTTGCCGGGTATCACAGAGATCTTGTGCTGCACGTTGTTCGATTCGACCAATTGCTGGGCATACTGGGCCATGTTGGAAGCCTCAATGGCATACACCTTGGCCGCACCAGCCTGCACGGCAAAGAATGACAGAATACCAGAGCCAGCCCCTACATCCAGTACGATTTTATCCTGCAAAAAAGCGAAAGAGTTAGCGATTTATTCGCCGACATGCGCTGTGTGTGAATCTGGTTACTTGGAAGTCGACTGCATTTCCCAGAATGGCCCTTTGGTACGTGCTCGTCCTCACATAGTCCTGCATCATGTTCTGCTGCTGGCTCAGATAGCCGTAGAACTGGAAATACTGCGATGCGGAAGACTCCTCGGTGCGCTGCGAAAACACAGACTTGGGCCGCAGATGTTTCACATTCTCCACCACCTTGCGGAAGAGCTGCTGGTCCTGGTCGCTGGCAAACCTCAGCACCAGGTTATCCGACTCCAGGGTGACTGCATAACTCCTCCGGCCCATCTGGGCCGCGTCCGTGTCCGCCGCTATCATGTACTCCTTGAGCACATGCTCCCGGTCAGCGTCTTAAATGAGAGATGTCGGATGAGGGGGTCAGAGAGATAATGGTGGGCAGGGGCTGATGCCAATTTACCCAACACTATCCGCAGCACTATCCCCTGGGAGTCGTAGCTGCAGAGCAGCGTGCAGCTGCCCTTGTATTTGTTAGTGAACTCGAGCTTCTGCTCGTCAGCGATGGCGCTAATTACAACGCCACTAAACTGGCAGTTACTGAGCGGGCAGAGGGCGGCGGCGGCGGAGAACTTCTGGTGCTCCTCAGGTCGTGGAGTGGACATGCTGGCGGCTGTAGACTGTAGAAGTGCTGGCGGCGCGTAGGAAAAGGGTGATCACAATGGTTTCTCGCTTGTTAATTGACAATGTAGGCCGTAATACACGAATATACACACACACACACACAAGCAACCACAAACACACGCACACAGGCAGACAGGGAACAGACGACGCGCAAAAAATTTTTTTCTTTCGTTCGACGGCAGCGGCGGCGGCTGGCGACGAATGCAAAATTTTCCACAACAAAAGTGCGATGCTTTGTGGCTGGCTGTCGGCTGGCAGCTGAGGAAACACGCGCGTTGGCTGGCGGACAATGAGTAATGCACGTTCTGGCGCGTTCTGGGCTGCGTCTGTTGCAAAATCGATCACTTTTTGTTGATTTCGTATTGATTTCACACGGAACGTGCGTTTTTTTTGCAAAAAGTGGCGCTCAGTGTGACCGTGTATTCATCGTTAAAATATACCGTCCGACCCTCAAATATACCGAAATATACCGTCTCATTTAAAAAAGATGCCGTAAATATACTGACGAATTAAAGTTATATTTTGCATATTCCTCGTTTTTGATATTCCGTGGAATATTACTAGCTATATGGAACAATTAGCCACGCCCACATAATTTTATCCGATTAGCGAATCCATTTTCTAATTGACTGCCATATTTTAAATACTTGCTTTTTTTGCATCTTGCGTAAAATGAGCTTTTAGCGAAAATGGTCAAACAAAAAACGAAAGAGGATAGTCGTTCTTATTGTTCAATTTTGATATTCCGTTGAATAATTCTGGCTAACTAAAATCTTTAGTTCTGCCCACATAATTTTAGTTCGTTGATGAATAAATTTTCTTCAAGATTGGCTAGTTTTTAGTCCTTGCTTTTATTGTATTTTGGCTAAAACAAGACATAAAGAAATAGTTCAACAAAAATAACAGTCGCAATGTTGCTGGTATTTGAAGACATGATGCGTGTGTAGGCCTTTGTATACCCTATTTCGTTCATTTAATATGAAGATAAAACGTAATCATTAAAAAAACGGTCGTAAATAAGACCCAATATTTATTTCAATGTTTTCTGGTTAATTTTTGCAGCAGGCGCTCCGGGGACGATGAGGATTCGTGCAGCGAGCACGAGGAGGAATTCTACTACACAGAAGACGACGACGATGATGAGTTGGTCAAAGCTCCTAGTCTAGCCTCGGAACCCACGCTCAGCCACCGGGACATGGCACGTCCTCCGCACGAGGATCCCGAATACCAAAAACAGATTGTCGGGAACTTCAAGTGAGTGAACGCTTGGGCAGAATATGAATATTGGTGACTATAATGGTAATTTCCCATTTCCCCGTTCCCCAAATAGGCAAGGACGTGCTTTGCATAACTACAACCACCTAACGCAGCAGCAGGCGTCGCCACATCACAACGGCGGCGGGCGGGGTGGCATGCACCACATAGGTAGCAGCATCCCGAGCAACCAGCAGCAGCAGCTGCAGAACAACAACACCAGCTGCACGCCGACATCGCATCTGGCCCACCACAATTACACTTGGCCATCCAGCAGCCCCCCGGGAGCTGCGATCGGGACGACGACCCTGTCATCGCCGGTCTCCACGCTGAACAAGCACGCTCGCACATCGTCTTCTCGTCCGTCCCACTCGGTAGCGCCATATCCATCACCGACGTTCGTCCAGAACCAACAACAGAACCAGCAACAGCAACAGCACCAGCACCAGCACAGTTCTTCTTCGAGCAACAGTAGCCCGGTCATCCACTGCAACAGCAGTGCCAACAATATGCTGCAGCAGCTGTCGCAACAGAACGTGACGGTGACGGCGCACGCGCACCACAGCCAGCAGGTGCAGCACCACCTGTCCAGTGTGACAATTACGCCAAATTATCATCCGACCCAACAGCAGCAGCCGCCGCATCAGGATCAGCCACATGTGCGCGGCCAGCAGCAACAATCAACTGCCAGCAACTTGGTTGCAAACAACAACCATAACAACCACAACAACAGCATGCCTCTGCAGCACGTGGCCGTGGCCGTGCAACAGTCTGTGGGCGTGGCCAAGCACACGCCCAACTCCCCCAACCGTCGTACGCGGGGCGAGAACAAGAAGTGCCGCAAGGTGTACGGCATGGAGAAGCGCGACCAGTGGTGCACTCAGTGCCGGTGGAAGAAGGCTTGCAGCCGCTTCGGCGACTGAAAGCGGCAGAAGTCGTCGACGGAGGCGGCAAACCACGCGTCGGCGTATCTGTCCAAGGCAGCAACAACATCCGCAATCACAACCACATCCACAGCAACAAATGCAACAACAACAGCAACCACCACCACAGCAGCAGCAGCAAAGATGACAACTACGATCGTGAGACTGGCCGCCGAAGTAGCTGCCGGCAAGCAGCTGCCCGCCGCCCTCACAATCAAAACGAATCGGCGTTACGGGGGACAAGCCCAAAACCAGAACCAGAACACGAACCGCCACCAGAGCCACCACCACCACCCGTACGGAGTGACGGCCAACAGCAACACGATCTGCAACAGACCAGTGCGCATCCGCAGTGTGGCCACCTCGGTGATAGTGGCCCCCATATCGTCAACGTCAACGCCAACGTCAACGCCAACCCCCACCAATGCTGATGGAGTAGGACGAGGAGCAGGAGGAACAGGAGGAGGATCAGCAGGAGAAAGTGGTTCAGAGGCCGACAGCGAGGAGCAGGTGGCCGCTGCCAATGGTCTGCTGGCCTGGAGCCGAGCCGCTGCCAGCCAGCAGCAACAGCAGCAGCATCAGCCACAGGTGCACCACCAGCAGCCCGTGCTCATGCAGGGCTAGGGCGACGCCCCCCTTATCCATCGCTGATCTTGCTGAAGAATCCTCCGAACTCAGTTGTAGATGATTGTTGTTGCCTGCCACGACATGCGGAGGCTGGAGCGAGCGCTGAAGCAAAAAAGCAAATGAAAAATGGTCTCTTCTTACATAATTTTTACTCTGCATGGTAAATGCACCTTAACACGTAACGGTATCTCTTTTGTTGTTGTGCTGGTGTTGCCAACTGCCGTGCAAATGTTGTTGCAGACATTTGTGCCCCGGGCAACATTTGCAATCTACAATAATCTAATTATTATTATTATTATTATCATTATTATTACGGATTATTACTATTGCTAAGCGTAACTATACATACAAACATATACCATACATATTTATTTCTAAAAATGACTTTGTTAATTCTTATGTTAGACACAAAAAACAAAACAAAACAAAACCAAGCGGTAGACGGTAGACGGCAGAAAACGACGGACCCAGAGCCGTTCGACTTTTATATACAACAAAACACAAAAACCATATGAATGTGTGTATGCCTAGATGTTGTACTACATTGAACATTACAAACAAAAAAAATGCAAAAGAAAAAACAACAAAAAATGGAAGAACACAACACAAACAAACAACAACAACAACCAAGAAAGAGGAAATGAACGAAAGAGAGTAACAAACAAACAAACAACAATATTTAAAGCAAATATACATTTGATTTTTTAGTTTTAAGAAATCTAGTAAATTTTTTTCTAGTATTAAGTGCAATTTCTGTTCTACTTCTTGCTCTAAAAAGAAAAACCAACTCAAACAAACAAACAAACAAATCAAAATGGAACTATAAAGCAGAATATTCAAAACGAAAATGAGAAAAACCTAAAGATATGCATATTACGAGTAAATATTCAAGGCGTTGCATCTACGACACACTACTACATTGTATAGGCATTAAAGAAACAACAAATAGTTAAATTCTTTGCATAACCATATGTGGAATGGAAATCAATCCAAGAAAACCGTTTAAGCAATTCGTACGTGTGTTTTACGCTAAGAGTTAAGTATTAATCAAATTCATGCAAACAGCGGCAATAGTTAAACACACCAGCTAAAAATATTCTAGTTAGTTAAGCACCCACCACCCGCAGTCGACACACGCCCGCGCCCCCACACCCACACCCACACCCAGACCCACTGAAACTTCTATAGAACAATTGCCCCGAAACCAAAACCCAAAACCCAAAACCGAACCCGATCCAAAACACAGCTACCCCAAGCACTAATATATGTATGTAGCATATATAGACACATAAAGCAACTTAAACTTAAATGTAGTGAATTTTTAAACAAACCAAGCAACAAACAACCAACAAACAAACAAACCGACAGACGGACAGACCTACTGATAGACAGATATAGATGAAGGGAAGGTCTAGCAGGAACCGTCGAAATTTCTATTGGAGCCAGGAGGAAAACGTTTTTCAAAGCATGTTCAAATTTTTACTACGTTTTTAAGTTAATATTTCGAAAACAAAACAAAACAAAAACGAAAAATGAGGAAAATTTGTCTATTAATTAATTTGTAATGAACTTATGACTAAAATCTAAGATAAAAAAAAAAGAAAAGAAAACAAAAACTTTTGGCGTTGTGCAACTATTGTGAATTGTTCAAATTACGGTATGCATATATACATTACAATGACGTCACAAAAAGACCCAGCGAGGCGGTAGATGAAGAATGAATGGATGAACTTAATGAGAGAAAGCCAGAGATTGAGATTGAGATTGAGAGAGGGCAGGAGCATAGCCGGAACCGGAAGCCGATGCGGATCGGAAACTTATATGTAGATGAAGATACAGAGGAAAGAAAGAAAATACACAAGGAATTCTTAACCAAATTGGAAGTACAAACTAAAGTCTAGAATATGTATATATAGAACCCATACACAACCACACACACACACACACACACACACACAAACACACACATAAAGAAACAAAAAACGAAAAGCAACAACAAGCCCCTAAATATCTATCTATATATGCATATAAACGAAACGAGTACATATATTTTTTGCGAATTAAGCGCCGGTAGAATGTCGCGAGTCGCGAGTCGGCAGAGAAGCGAAGTGCAATGGGATGAGAATGAGATGACAATTCGATGACGAAGATGAGATGAGGGAAATTTTGAGCCTAAGCTGAAGCTTTAAAGAACAGTTTTTGAAGTGAAAAAAAAAAACAGAGAAAGTGAAAGCTGAAAGCTGATTGCGAAACGGAGGGCGATGAAAACACGCAAGCGAAAATTTCATTGAAATTGTTTGCCGTGATTTGAATGAAATTCATAATGGTGGCCATTTTTGTGTAATGCGAAAAAGTTTAACAACATTTTTTACACTTGTATTTCGTTTTTATTAACTTTAAGTTTAAACCAACCCCCACACACACACACAAACAGACACACAGATGTCCTTGCATATGGAATCGAACATACATACATACATATATACAAATTATAAATAAATATATCGATTAAATTGTAAAATGAAAACTGAAAAGAAAACGGAACGGAACGAAGGAAATACAAAACATTT